CGTGCTTCGCTTGGAATCCAGAGCATTTTGAATTTCAGGGTTATGGAGGTGCGTGACACAAGGCTATGATTGAGTTTGTTGAAAAATATATACTTATCCCATGATTTTCAGCCTTTTTAGAAGTTAAAGCATTAGGAAAAGTGCTTATGTAAATGCTTGTTTGATCAGTACTGATAATCAGTCACCTAGATAGCCAAAATCAGATGTTACATTATTTTCCGGCCGCCATATTGGTGTACCACGGAGGTACACCAACATGGCGTTTTCATACTGGGCTCTGTAAATATCGGCGAAACATTTCGACAAATATCTGAAGTTTGGGGAAATGCACAGGCCTAAAACTTGGATTAGTGGCTTATTTAGTTATCTTCTATAACATCATAATTTCATAGCTTTTTCCACTTGATGGTTTTCGATTTATTTTTTTAATTGCATGACAGTGAAAACAATCTATAGAAATTTTGGGTTCCTGAGCCCATCAGACACACAGTAAAGATATAATAAATATCTTACTAACCTTGTTTTCTCGGTCCGTACTGTAAGTTATGGATCCTTGTTCTCCCCTTCGATTTAAAGCCCGTGCGCTTTGCGCTTGGGACATAAATCGATAAACCCAGTCCATAACTTACAGAACGGCCCTCAAACTTGGTTAGTAAGATGTATGACTTCAGTTTGTATCAAATAGAATTTACATGTGTATCGAATCGACTTCCATTTGTATCAAACCATGGCTTGAATCAAAACGACTTTGTACCGAAACGACAGCAAACCATTAACTGTTTCTTCTATAAGTTTCTGATTTTACTAGGCTGTCTATCTAGGTCATAGAGTATGCAAGGTTTCAAAACAACTACTTTTGGAATGATAACAGTTCCATAAGACGTGAGAATTGTGAATGTTTTCGATAAGTGAATAAAGATGGTGAATTTTAAGCTTGGTAATGAAATGTGAAAAGCATGACACGAGCGTGGGACTTTGTCCCACGCTCGTGTCATGTTGACTTCGACAGTGCTGAACCTAACAGTATGCAGGACGCCTGTCACATGAACTCAGTTAAATGACCTTGCTCTCCATGAGTTCTTGTAGCTCAGTGGATAGAGCG